TGTCATGTTTCATCTACCCTTTAAGAATTTTATTACAACTTTACATGTTGTTTTTACTGTGATGATCTATACTGCAATTTGTAGCAGTTTCTTCAGGGACTCTGCTAAAACATTGGCTTTTACATCTGACATAAATGGAAATAAAGAGATTTAACAAGAAGTATAATATCTTAATAACCACTGCATTCCTTTAGAATAATGTATTCTAGAGAAACACTTTTTTATTTTTTATCAGCACATTTTTAATTAAGTTAATACAAATGGAACCTCATCAGGTTAGTTGAAGTTTTAGAATACATTGTTAAATTCGTAAAGATACATTTGTAAAAGTAACTTCTGGAATGGTCAAGTTTTTTTATATCCTTTTTATAACCTCCAAAATGACTCAGGGGACACAAAATTGGAACTACTTAAGTGCATTTAAAATTAAGAATGGGAGGCACTTCTTCACATAACGAGTTGGGGGAGTCTGGAACAAGCAGTCCTGCTGTGTTGTTGAAAAGGCTTCACTTGGTGAAACCCTTGGATCAATAAGCTTCCAGAAGCCAAATGAGCTACAGTAGATGAACTAAATAGCCTCCCTTCATTTGCCACTTTTCTCACTGTGTGTCTCTTACCTGCAAAGGAGGAACTAAAGCATTCACCCTCACCCATTCCTTACTTTTATGCATTAAGACTGTTAAAATTGAATGGCAAATGTGTGCTGCCACTGGTGTGGCGGTGGTATGGCAAACCAAGGGGGTTTGCTTGGGCCCCTGCATCCTAAGCTATAAAGAGTCAGCTCCTGAAATGCTGCTTTGAGAATCCCCGAATTTTAGGGAATCCCCAATCCCTTGTCCAAACAGGCAGTGTCTGGATGATTGGTGTTCAACCCATGTGCTGAAATAATGCCTTTGAGCTACACAGGAGCACACGATAGCATCAGTCTTTTGCAGCTGTGGTGGTAAAAGAGTTGTGACTGCCCCAGCACTGTCAACTGTCCCAGCACCATCTGATTATTTAACCTGATAAAATGTATAATGCTTCTGTCTAGCCTGTTGATGAATTTATCAGTTTCTTGTGTCAAGCTTATAATGTGGATCTAAACTCCAATTGGAAAAATGTTCACAAAACAAAAATGGTGCTGCCTTCCACTGTTGGCTCTGATTTGTATATCTTAAGACATTAAATACGATGAATCCTTAAAACATTGGGATTAAAACAAATTAAGTTCTGAAAGAGAAAAGGAGGCAGACTTAGTTTATTTTTTAATAATGTCAGGAAAACTTAACTTTGTTATGGCTCCTGTACTGTTACTATAATTACTTAAACAGTATCTGAAAATGACATTTCTCCCTGTGGACCTGTACACAGGCGATTACTTTACTTTAGAATCTTTAAGATGCTCAAGTGAATTGCCATTTAGAGCTTTCATCTTTTTCATAGTTGTATATTTTATCGCAGATATTCAACATACGTACACTCCAACTCCTCCCTCTGCTTAAAGGCAGAGATATTGCTGTACAGTGACACCGACTACTACTGTGGCTCAGTCTCTCTCTCTCTCTCCTGTGGGACCACTGCTGATTTACGGGACAGCTCAACACTAATTGAGTGATTTGTATTAATGTCACGTTCGGCAGGAGCACTGGAGGAAGTGCAGTTACCCTTTCACTAGTGGAAATGCCTAAATGAGACTGTTCTGTCCTGCAAAGATCTGGCCTCACTTCCTAAAGCACTTTTCATGTGTAAGTGATCAGTTCCCAACTGTGATGGGACTGAAAATAAATTCTTTCAAGCTACTGTCCCTTTGCTTATCATATTCTGTGGATGGAATGGTTTTATTGTTTTTTTTATTTTTCCCTTGTCACCTGTCTTGCTGTCTTTTTTGTCATACTTGCACCTGTATAAGCTGTTTTTAATCTTAAAAGGTATTTACTTCATATAAGAACAGAAGCTTATGAATATTCAGTGTGCCAAGACATACAGTAAGTTACAATGTATTTGTCTGCACTCGGAATAATATAGCAATTTAAAATACAAGCCCTAAAAGTGCAGCTGGACCCTAGGCTGTACCCCTGCTGTTCTGAGATGGATAGTGTTTATAGGTATTATCCACTTAGTACATTGCACTGTAGACCTTAAGCACTGAACAGTCTTAGCTCACCTGATTGGACTCCAGCTGCTTTTTGTAGTCCAGCTGTGCCCAGCCTTCTGACTTTAGGACCTAAGTCTTGAACATGTATGAGTTTCACTGGGGGGAGGGAGAACTTAAAATGTTATCTGTCTGTAGCCTATGATTTAGCATTGGTACCTCTATTTGTACTTTAGTTCTTAATTTTAAATGGTTCTGATAGCTGTAACCAGTTGGCCTGAAGTCAGAATTTCAATGATGTTACTGGTCTCTGGTTTGTTTGTTTGTTTATTGGCTCTTTCCAGTAAATTAGTATGCTTCTTCTATGTGGGTCATGCCTGACAGCAAATGATATTCTTGTATAACTTGAGGGGTAGCCGTAGGGGCTGAATTTGAGGTTACAGCAGAATTGGCAAAAAACAGTATTGTTAGAGATTCCGCTATTGCTCTGCTTGATTTTACTATCCGTTTGCATGGAAAATGTACTGGGGTGCTGGTCCAAAATTCCGTATTTCAGAGAAATACAGATCGAGGAGTATGTGTTAAAAATTAGTTTTTCTTGTACATTACAGACTTTGTGAATTCCTTAAGGTATGAAGGCCTGATGAAACATCAATCAGAAGTTTCAACACTACTACTGTTAATGGCATTTTAATTAAACTTTGTTTTTTCTCCTGCATTTGTGCTATATTAAGATATCCTGCATGATGTACTGTATGGAAAAAAGCCCTTTCAGTATGGGTACTTATGGTAAAAAGTAGAGAAACTTCAGTAAGCGTTTGTAGCTCAAAAATAGGATAAATAGTAACAAATGAGCAAATTCCAGCTGTCGGAGTTGCAGGGTTTAAAGAGTCTTTTATTTGAGGTCAGGTCTTGTAACACAAGCCAGGGAGCTGAAAAAGTACCACCAATCTGTGCCGTGTGTGTGGTTCTGTGGTAAGAGCTTAGTCTTCACCCTATTCAGCTTTTGCCTAGTCAGATGTAAAAGAACACATGATTGTGCACTGCTGGTATGATTAAAGAACCACTCTACTCTTCGCTTGTCAAAGGTAGGATTGTGTGGATTACTTATTGTATACAAATATGCCTAAATTTCCTTTCTGAATTTGAGCCACGACTCATTGGGCCAGAGTTTATCCTTGTGAACGTGGTGCCAGATTTAAACATTGGGTGAAGTGGAACAATTGGGTTAACTTACTCAAGGTACAGAGCAGTGTCTGCAACGGGGACCTGAACCCACAACCACCAGTTTTGAGATGAGACTTACGCATTATACTGTTTTTTTTAAGTAGTTCAGGTAGTTGACACCTGAAGAAGGCTCCATGGACGAAACGTTGTGTTCTCTTCATTCTTTTTTTCAGCATGGAATAAACCCATTACTTGTTCCTTTTTGGTTTTTTAAGCCTAAGCTAAGAGCATTAGTTTGTCTCTTTACTGTTTTTCATCCATTCTGTGTCTTATTTACGAGATGTATTATCAGGTTATCACCAATGCCAACAGTGTAAGAGAGTTTGTGTTTTTTTTGGAACGTGAACAAAAAAGGTTGAACAATTTTCTTAAAATAAAAGCACGTTGGTATTTGAAGTCTTGATTTGATTGATTTAATGACCCAGGTGACTTTCAAAGGTGAATGTGTTGTGAAGGTGAAGGCAGTGACTGGTTTGGCTCTTTATTTGCTGTTTTGAATCCTGGGCTTCTTACTGTATTTCTGTTATCTTCTGTGGATCCCTGCCAACCGGTTCTTCATTCTGTAGCAGCACTTCTCCCTCCTTTCACGTCCCTCTCATCCGATATTTCTGCTCCCTTTCCTTTGCAAGACACACAAACCTTCTCGCGCGCACACCCACACATCCAGCCGGAGGCTAAATTTGGTCCCTCTTTTCCTGTGATGATCTCTTTTAGCTTCCAAAAGAGAAATGCCATGACACCGCAAGGTGATGGACTCTTTATTTATTAATTTACTTTGTGTCGTCTCTCCAGTGCCAAACACACTACTCTTTCAGCCTGAAAATAAATGGGTACCCTGTGAACTCACTGCAGCTCTTCCAACTCTTGTTACAGAAAACAAAAAGATGGAATTTATTCAGGTTTTCAGATTTGCAGTGGTTGTGTCTTTTGGCAAGTTTCAGCTATTGTTCTGCATCGATGAGGATTTTTCAGATAAGCAGAAGGGTTTACTGGATTTTGCTCTGGTACTCTGAGTAAAATTCGTAATTTTCAGAGTAAAACGGAGTACAATTCAAGCTATAAAGAAATAGCTGATTCAGCTGTTGAATTGATTTTTCACTTTTTGGAAGTGACGTCTTGGATCCACAAGGCAAAACAGATATGAAAAAATTGCATAATCAAGTTGTTTTATCCATGGTGAAATATAATTTGTGTTAGTGATAGATGTGTCAGGTAGCTTTTTGGGTGATAAGGTTTCATACACAGCTTACAATTTGATTTGGTTAACTCGCAGGCATCTGATATGCAGGATTCAGCCTGAAACCTGTACCACATGTGAATTGATTTCAGCTGTTTACAATCAGTCCCCAGAGTAGAAGTAGTGCAGTCACTTGCAGTTTGATACAATTGGACACAGTCACGCCCTGTGAAGGTCAATGATTGAATATCAGAGAAAATTACTGGACACACCTGAGGTGTGCTTGTTTGCAGGGTTAATAGAGGAAGCTGTGAAGGTGTCAGCTGCAGTGATGTGCTGACCTGTGGCCAACAGCATTGTTCAAAACAAATCTTGATTTTTTTTCATTTTTTTTCTATAATAGTTTTCTTTTCACGTGTCTGGTCTGCAAGCTATCCTGTTATGCCTTGAAAAAACATATAGTAGATCTGTAAGAGTGTATGTCCAAGTACATCCAAGAGCAACCTTTGGTCTGTCTTACAGATTGCCTGAGCTGGAGCCCAGCACTCTGACTTGAGGGGACTCTGTGTGATGCAGGAAACTAAGAAGCTTTGCGGACACCCGGAAACTATGTTCCTGTGCTTGGAGATGGATTAGAAACCCTTGTCTCCAGAGGTCAAAGGTACGTACAGTACAAGTAAACATGTTTTGCATTGAGTGATCTCCAGTATTTGGAGGAATTTCTGTTGGTTACAGAATTGTGTTTTGTCTAGATTGACTGCCACAAATATTATGAAATTAATTACTAATAGGCGTCAATGCTTTTTAATACTATATGTAATCTTTATTTTATATGTATAATCACTAAATGTTTTTCTGAATTACATCTTGCTTGGTAGTTATTAATGGAGTGTATCAATTATTTTGTGTGACAGTTTTGTAATCTGTGTGAGCTAAAAAACTGCAATAGCTTTGATAAAGGAGAATAGCTGCATCTTGAAAATGACGTCATGGGCAGAGAACAACAGGAAAACACAAAGTTGTTTTGTATGCATGAAATTATTCTGAGCTGTGCAAGTCCAGTTTAGCAAGTATTCTGTGTTAATTTGTCTTCTAATCATTTTTTAATGTTTCATTTGATTTAGCCTCTTGTTGTCAAAATAAACCTTACGTTTTTTGCTAACTTGTTGAATGGCAAAATGTCAGTACCCAAACGTTTGTGAATCCATCTTCTCCTCCTGCACTGTCTGTGTCCCCTCATTGTTTCCTCCTTCTCGTTATCCACCTTCTTATTCTGTAACATTTTGGTGACTGCAGTTACCTTGCACTTCATTTGAAAGAGCAGAACTGAACATTTTGTCTGTAAGTTTGCATTGGTAAGCAGGAATGTGATTTAGAAAGGTAATCTTTACCTTTACATTATTCTTCTCCTCACATAACGGACCAAGCTTTATTGTGGAAGGCAGTGGTTATTCAAGGAGGCTTTGTTAAAATTGGTGTTGGTGTTTAAAAAAAATGGGTGTTGGTGTTTAAAAAAAAATACTCCGAATAGATAAGTTGTAAGGTCGAGTCCAACACATTATATCTTTACTCTCTGGAGAAGCCATATCACTTGGAATTATTCTGAAGGTACTTGCTAGTGATGCCGAACTTTTGAACCACTGAGTTAATTGCTGGTAATTGCAGATTAATCCTTATAAATGAGTGTTTTCCTTTGCCAGAAAGCATCTACAGTATTGAATTAGAGGACGAGGCAGGGAGCATGGGGAGTTTGTGTTCTTTTTATGTTTGTTGTTGATGAAGGTGTTGTAAATTGACATGGACAACACACGTAGGCTTTACCTTCCTAGACCCCTCACCCCCCGCCTTACAAACACTACCAGGATGGGTGTCGTTTTTCAATACGAGATCTCTTTTTGAAGCATTCTCCGATAGCTATGTTTAGGGAGAGTTCATTCCTACTTTTTCTTTTTCACATCAAACTTTTTTTTAAAATATAGAACCATTTCAAGTAGTGAGTGAGAAATATCCCTTTACAATCCCAAAATTAAAACAGATAGATTTTCCCATTGTGTGGGAAATTTCCAGGGGTATAATCAGTGGGCTCCATCTCGCCCCATCTCTTGGACTCTGGCCATCCATCCCTTTTTAAAGTTAGTTTTGCAGGCGTCGGAAGAGGATGGAAGACGTTTTTCTGTGTTTGCTCATCCTCCATGCCAGACACTGATTGATTCAGTGTAAATATTTGTATTTCAGGTGGGGAGCTGCGTCAGCATGCGTAGGCTGCAAAGGAACAAGTAATAGGTTTATTCCATGCTAAAAAAAAAGAAGAAAGAGAACACAACGTTTCAGCCGTGGAGCCTTCTTCAGGTGGCTCCACACCTGAAGGCACACCTGAAGAAGGCTCCACGGCCGAAACGTTGTGTTCTCTTTCTTCTTTTTTTCAGCATGGAATAAACCTATTAAATATTTGTATTGTCTGTTTTATTGAAGACCAGCTATTTCCAGATGTGGATCTAGGATGTGATGGACAATTTCAAGCTCCCACTTCACTCATACACTTCTTTCAGTCCTGTCTCAGACCTCACTTCTGAACTTCTATATTTGAATATCTTGCTCTGTAGTAACATGAACTAACATTGAACCCTCCTCAATAGCAATGTTGGTTTTGTGCCCAGCGCTGTTCCTCTGACCAAACAGCACATGGATTCTCTGGCTTCTCCAACTTTGTTTGCCAGATGGCTAATTTTGTTTAGCTGGAGGCAGGCTTCGTTGCACAGAGTGAGGGATACAATTCATTTCCCCAAACTGGGGAAAAAAATCAACTTTGCAGCTTGAGCTTGTAAAGGTAATTTTTTCTTCAAGGTGCCAGTTCTTTCTGCATTTTTAAAAATCTGCATCACCATCCATGCACCATTAACTTTATTGCTAGTCTTTTCTCCATAATTTTATCATTTATTTTACCGATTTGTTATTGTTTTATTATTTGTTTTGTTTTACATGTTTATAATTAGGTAAACCTTCATTGAGATTTTCGCTGTTTATTTTTACTTAAAGTTACTGTATTTGGTCAAGCTCTGACTCCCCCACGGACTCTGTGTTGGGGAAAAAAGTGGTTAGAAAATTGATGGATGGTTTTTGGTAGTTATTAAAACGGAACCTTTCCACATTTAAATTGGACAGAATGGTTATACAAGTGTTCCTTTGTGAAAATGCTGAAAATAATATGGGTTCTGTCACAGTGTGGTGAATCCCTCTATTTACTGTACAATCTATCTCTTTAGTCTTAAACACTCTTTCCCATCTTTGTGTACATCGGTAATGGCTGTAGGTGTTGGATTTTGATGGCAGCAGCTCTGAGAGGTCACAATGTCAGTGCTTGTTTCTCCTTGCATTTTAATTCTAATGCTGAGATAGAACTAAAATGAATCCATGTGTTGTCTCCAATTTGACCTGTGTCTGGGGATTTTTGGCTGTGCATATCATGAGGACTTACCTTATTTCAGGAGATTGTTGGATTAATGATTAACAGCGGAGAGGAAGGCAAAACTGTTGGCTCTCAAATTGTTTGAGATTGTTCTCGCACACAAACAAACGTACACACTCATATACACTATCCTAGGCATCTTGGATCTGTTCCATTGATCACACTCTTCAGCAGTTCTGGGACTGGACACAGATAAGTTTCCACTGTCTGTAATCTTTATTTTCCAGAAATAGCACAGCTCCAGACCCTCACTGTTATGCTGTCTTGGCAACATAAATCCTGATTTGAGTTAGAGAAAGGAACAATTTCTAAGCTGCTTATTTCTATTTGAAGAGAAAAAAAACTGTGTTCACTGGGGCACATTTTTCTACCATCTGAACATATGTATAAGTTTGACAAACTATCGCAGCACAGTTGTTGGTACAGTTCTCATTCATTACATTTCTAGTTTCAAAAGCAACTAGAATGGTTGTGAAATTCGTATATACCCTTTCCGACTGTACAAAAGCAGTCCAGATGTTAGTGTATTAAATTAAAATGCATGGGTGCACTGCTCCGATCCTTCTGTGGTCACTGATAATTTTGTTTCAAAAGCAATTACAGAAAGTATGCGGACGTCATAAAGCAGAATGAATTTACCTAGTTAATTAATCCAGAAATGGGACTCTTTGAAGAGGTCAGATGCCCTCCAAACAAAGTCTCTAGAGTGAGAATGGTTAACAGCATGAAAAGATTAAGTCAGTAAGGTCAAGGACAGTTCTGTAATGCTTCCTAAGTGGGACTGTATTAATATCACAAGCCTTTTATTACTGTATGTACATCTCTCGTATGATACTTTTTTGCATTGACTGGCTGTTGCTGCAGTGTGTGATGTGCACTTTTTTGAGGTCTGGAGGCTATTCAGTTGAGAGAATTAAATCTGAAGTGCTGAACTCTCAGACCAGGCATCTCTCACTCTCAGGAATGCATCAAGATCACACATTCCAGCAACTTTCTTTTTCAAAGGCTAGACAGATTTGTTTAGGGTGGATAAAAATCCCCTTGTGATTTAAACTTCACAGCGTGGGTCTATGTTGATGTTATCTTAAGAAGTTTTAACCTTTTCAGGACCACTGAGATACTTATAAAAATCATAACTATATGTGAGGTCAGTCAGTACAGGTTTGTACTGTTTTACATGTTTTATGGCTTGATAGTATTTAAGATAACTGCTTTTTTATTTTAATCGTGAAACCGAAGGATCTTTGACAAGCTGGAACTACTGTCCCAGCACAAGTCTTGTCAAGGCCACTATTGTCGAGGGCTGTATCCATGAGCTAGTGCCATGTTCCTCATTAAATGTTTGATTCTCAATATCTATGTTTGATCATTGATTATTTAAGTAGTTGTTACAATATTTGACTTCCCAGTAGCAAGGATGTCCAGCTGGCTAGACCTATTAGTGGGATGTAAGATGTAGGTCTAGAAGGGGGGAAATGCTTTAAGCTTTTGATACTACATTGAAGTTTGAATTGCCTGAGGTGTGGATCCAAGTTGTACAATAAAGGAGGACTTGGGTAATATTCTATATGTAAGCCCAATTTTGCAAAGCCGGAGATCCACTCTGTTGTTTACAAATCCTCTCTCCATTTTGGACAGATTCCTAGTGAAAGCTGCATCATCTGTCAATGTGCAATCTCACCCAGCACTCAGGTACAATTTTATGTCTATTGAGACCTAGTGGCTTTGTTTTTAGTGAGGCACATTTGTTTTCTTTTACAAGAAGCTTTTTTTTTAAAAAAATCTGTTGTTCTCTACACTTTCAGATTCTGTCTCTGTCTTAAAATCAAATTAGTTCTGTTTTTTGTTCAGCCAGTTAACAGATGCTTGTATGCAGGTGAGGTGTTACCGTTTGTGAAATAATCTGCAGAAAGACTCCCCTACTTACTGCAGGTCAGTAGCGTTTGCTCAAAACAAGGCTTCAGCGCTGTTCAAAATAAGTTATGGCCTGTTTATAAATCATGCCCCTGGAGCACCGGGGGACAGGAGGGAGGTGTGAAACAGAAATGGTCTCTGAAAAGAAAATCAGATCACCATTTCTGGCATGCAGAAGGGCATGTAAGAATATTCTTTTCTGTTTGAAGAAGAAAGCCTTAGAACTGACACTTCATCTCTTGTATATTTTCATTTTTAAATGAATGGAACACGATACTCCA